CTCCCTTTCATACATTTTTTAAAACAAAAGTACCAACCCCACCCCAACATATACCCCCCTGTTTTTTAGCATTCTGTATACCCATCAGTTCCAGTGCTTTACCCCCCTTTCATTCTATGTAATGCCTCTCACCTCCCCCACACTCACTCCTGTTCCTTTTTACTCCCAAAAAATGGTATACCTCCCTGGCCAGTGCATGAAATTTCCGCTCCCCTTTTTTCGTCGACATTTAAAAGTTCCTCAAAAAATTTTTCACCATCACCCAAAAATTCCCTCTCCCATCACTAACTCCCTACTCTGTTTTTAACTGGGAAATCCACTGTTCTTTTAGGCTTTCTTAACTTGTTTAACCACTCCAAATTTTTTTATTTTTATTAAAATTTCTTACAGTGCCTCCCACTCTACATCCCCTCTCCTTTTGCATTCTCTCACCACCTCTTCACCTTTCTTTTAAACCCCCTCCATATACTCCTACCTTTTTAAAAACCTTTTGGGAACGAATAAGATCATTTTTAGTTGTACTACAGTTAGAGTAAGAGGTAGATAGGACAAAGGAAAATGGAAACAAGTAAAAGAGTGAAAGTGTATAAAAATTTGGGGGGGGAGGAAGTTAGGGTGAGATATAAAAACATTGGCAGAAGGTGGGGGAGTGCAAGTATGAGATGGGGGGGAGGGGGGGTTGAAGAGGGTTTGGGAAATTTTTTAAAAATTTTATTAAATGTGGGACAAAATTTGGGGGGGGGGGGGGGGGGGGGGGAGGAGGGGGGGTGCAGGGGGAAAGAGGACGGTTGGTGGAAAGATGAAGTAAAGATGTGATAAAAGAGAAAAAAGGGGGTTATGAGAGGTTTTTTTCCAAAACAGAAGTGTTATAAAACAGCAAGTTTAAAAGGGGAGTAAATAAAAGGTGAAGAGAGTAGTGAGAGAATGCAAAGAAGAGCAGATGATAGATGGGGGAAGGCATGTCAAGAAATTTTAATGAAAACAAGAAAAATTTTTGGAGTGAGATAAACAAGTTAAGAAAGCCTAGGGAATGAATGGATTTGTCAGCTAAAAGCAGAGTAGGCGAGTAAGTAGATGGGGAGCTGGAGGTATTGGGCAGATGGCAGGAATATTTTGAGGAACTTTTAAATGTCGACGAAAAAAGGGAGGCGGTCATTTCATGCACTGGCCAGGGAGGTATAACATCTTTTAACCCTATGACTGTTTCAGGCCCCTCTCTGAAACTGTCATTCTATGTCGCTCAATTTTTGAAAAAAAAAAAAAAAAAAATTTTTTTTCTTGTGAAATGATAGAGAATCTTTTCCCGATGGTAATGACACCAAAAGTTCGAAATTTGGTCGAAAACTCATGGAATTATGCTCCCTCGAAGTTAGCGGTCTCGGCGACATATGCGTATCGGCGATTTCGCCGAATTTGAGCCCTATTTTCAGCCAATTCCATTGTTCCAGTTGACCAAACTCATAGCTATTTCTTTAGAACTCCATTTTATCTATCAGCTGAGTACAAGAAACCTCCCATTTACTAATTTGGACTACCCAATATGGTGGTCAGAAATAGGCAAATTGGCCAATTTCACACAAACTAAAAAAGATGCCAATTTCAAAATAGGGTCCAGAATAAACAAGGTAGACATTCGTGGCACTAAAATAACATATGCTCTGTTCATTAGTCACATCTCTAGGCCCCTCTTATATTATTATTGCTTTCTATTTTGATTTTTTACTCATACAAAAAATACAAAATTTACTGTTATGCAGACTACTGCATTATTGTAAAAATGGTATAAATAATATCAGTGCACTAGTGAAAGAATATTAGACTCCCCAGTTGACGTGTATTGGACGTGTGGTGTGATTTATTTACTCCTGAACATTGGTAAAAATCGAATATTTCCGCTACTTTGAGCTCAGTTTCAAGGTCGTTTTCATCGTCAAAGTAATGAAAATCATCTCTCTTTCTGTAATATGTTTTCCATTTTATCACCTAAGACCATGAAAACGCGAATACAACGATAAATACTATACGAAAATACACCTCAAAGTCGGCGTTTTATTCCAAAAAAACGATCATTTTTTTTTTCTCATTACGCAATGTGTGCTGCAGGATTTTTTTTATGTGGTGCACACTGACCACACAGACCCATTCTCTCACATGTGGGCCTACCAGCTTTCTCCTGCTTGATTTGAAGCCGCTAGAATTATTGAGTATATATACGTCAGAAACATTGGTTCGTAAGACGTATTTATACGTCGAAAACAGTCAAAGGGTTAAGAGTGAACAAGAGCAGGATGTGAGTGTTGGGTGAGGTGCGTGAGGCATTACGTAGAATGAAAGGGGGTAAAGCAGCAGGAACTGATGGGATCATGACAGAAATGTTAAAAGCAGAGTGGAGATATAGTGTTGGAGTGGTTGGTATTTTTGTTAATAAATGTATGGAAGAGGGGAAGGTACCTAAGGATTGGCAGACAGCATGTATAGTTCCTTTATATAAAGGGAAGGGGGACAAAAGATACTGTAAAAATTATAGGGGAATAAGGTTACTGAGAAAAGTGAAAAGTGGGTTATAGTAAGTGTGTATGCACCTGGAGAAGAGAGAAGTGTAGAGGAGAGAGAGGATTCTGGGAAAATGTGAGGTGAATGCGTGGGAAAGTTTGGATCAAGTTGAGAGTAATGGAGGGGGATTTAATGCTAAGTGGGTGAAATGTTAAATGATGGAGTAGTAGATAATTGGGGTAGCCAGGGTAATGTAAATGGGGAACTTTAATGGGCTATGTGTAGAAAAAATTTGGAATAAGTAATACAATTTTATGAAAAGGGATAATAAATATACAATTATGTTAACATTATGAAAGAGTATTGATTATGTATTGGTGGATAAAAGGTTGAGGGAGGCTCCGGGAAAGGGTGTCGGGGTGGTGGGGGGTGGTGGGGGGGATAAAATGTTAGAGGGATAGATATATCGGATCATTATTTAGTTGTAGCTACAGTTAGAGAGTAATGAGAGGAGAAAGAAGTGGAAAAAGTAAGAGGGATGTGAAAAAGGATAATAAGTAAAAGTTCGGTGAGATATAGACTATTGGAAAGAGTGGGCTGTGCAAAATGAGTAGTGGGGGGTTAAGGGTTGGAAATTTTAAAACACATATTAATGTGGCATAATTTGTTGTGGTATTAGGAGGGGGGGAGGGGAAAGAGGAGGTGGAAAATAAGTAAAGGGTGGATAAAAGAGAAAAAGGTAGCTATAGAGGTTGTTACAAAGCAATGTTAAAAAAGAGGCAGAGTATAGGAGAGAAAAAGGGGTGAAGAGGTGAGAAAGTGCAAAAGGAGCAGATAAAGTGGGAAAGGCCTGTCAAGAAATTTAATGAAAATAAGAGAAAAATTTTGGAGGTGGGTTAAACAAGTTAAGAAAAAAGGGAAAGTAGGATTTGTCATTTAAAAACAGAGTGGGGAATAAAAGAGGGAAAGGGAGTACAGTGGACCCCCGCTTAACGATCACCTCCAAATGTGCCAATTATGTAAGTGTATTTATGAAGGGCTTTGTAGATTTTAGGATTGAAATGGACTATCTACTTCAAATAATTTATGGGAAATTGTCAGTGATTGCACTGAAATACTAGATAAAAAAGTTCGTTAACGGGGTCACACTGTATTAGGTAGATGGGAAATATTTTGAGGAACTTTTAAATGTTGGGAAGAAAGGGAGGCGGTAATTTCATGCACTGGCCAGAGAGGTATACCATCTTTTAGAGTGAAGAAGAGCAGAATGTAAGTGTTGTGGAGGTACGTGAGGCATTACGTAGAATGAAAGGGGCAAAGCAGCTGGAACTGATGGGATCATGACAGAAATGTTAAAAGCAGGGGGGGATATAGTGTTGGAGTGGTTGGTACTTTTGTTTAATAAATGTATGAAAGAGGGGAAGGTACCTAGGGATTTGGCGGAGAGCATGTATAGTCCCTTATATAAAGGGAAAGGGGAACAAAAGAGATTGTAAAAGTTATAGAGGAAATAAGTTTACTGAGTATACCAGGAAAAGTATATGGTAGGGTTATAATTGAAAGAATTAGAGGTAAGACAGAATGTAGGATTGCAGATGAGCAGGGAGGCTTCAGAGTGGGTAGGGGATGTGTAGATCAAGTGTTTACATTGAAGCATATATGTGAACAGTATTTAGATAAAGGTAGGGAAGTTTTTATTGCATTTATGGATTTAGAAAAGGCATATGATAGAGTGGATAGAGGAGTAATGTGGCAGATGTTGCAAGTATATGGAATAGGCAGTAAGTTACTAAATGCTGTAAAGAGTTTTTATGAGGATAGTGAGCTCAGGTTAGGGTGTGTAGAAGAGAGGGAGACTACTTCCCAGTAAAAGTAGGTCATAGACAGGGATGTGTAATGTCACAATGGTTAATATATTTATAGATGGGGTTGTAAAAGAAGTAAATGCAGGGTGTTGGGGAGAGGGGTGGGATTATATTATGGGGAATCAAATACAAAATGGGAGTCGACACAATTACTTTTTGCTGAGGATGCTGTGCTTATGGGAGATTCTAAAGAAAAGTTGCCACTTTCATATTTTGCAATAACTTATTTCTTGAATTCTATGTTTCTCACCTTCTTTACCAAAGGGCTGGCGCTTTGAGCTTTCCTTGACCCCATGGTGGTTTATTTCACAGTTGCAATCAATAAACAAGAACCAAAAACAATAGATTAATGCGCAGAGTATTCCTACCCCAATTAGAGAGATGTGCAGACTGAGTGTGATATGCATGAGCAAGCGTGTCGCCGGCGGGTGGACGCATCTCATACCAACAATTTCCGAGCGGATGACCGATATATATTGGGAATTTCGCCGAAAAAAGTGCTCAGTTTCTGAAATTGGCTGATTTCCGCACCGGCCTATATCCAGGGGTCCACTATACCTGCATTAGGCTGGCATTACTTATGACTGTACAAATTACTTTATCAATACTTTAAGAGCTAAGCAGTACTTGCACTGTGCTTACCTTCATAAATGACAAGTTGAGGAAAAGTCCTAACACCCCTGAGAGGAGGCAGCCAGCATAGAAATCATAGCGCATCGCATGTGGAAAATGAAGTACCTCAAAGGCCTCTTCCAAGTACAGAGATGCTGGAGCCAACACCACAACACTGCATGTAAAATAGGTAAACTGAGAGTCAAAAGTCCAAAGGTTAGCAAAGTTATAATTTAAAAAAATTCATACATCTTATAGCCATCCGCTCTTCCCCTCAAACAAACAAACACACTGTGTGTGTGTGTGTGTGTGTGTGTGTATGTATTCACCTAATTGTGGTTACAGGGGTCAAGTCATAGCTCCTGGCCCCCACCTCTTCACTGGTCGCCACTAGGTCCACTCTCTCCCTGCTCCATGAGCTTTATCGTACCTTTTCTGAAAACTATGTATGGATCCTGCCTCCACCACATCACTCTCCAGACTATTCCACTTCCTGACAACTCTATGACTGAAGATATACTTCCTAACATCCCTGTGGCTCATCTGAGTCTTCAACTTCCAATTGTGACAACTTGCTGCTGTGTCCCATCTCTGGAACATCCTGTCTCAATCCACCCTGTCAATTCCTCTCAGCATTTTATATGCTGTTATCATATCCCCCATCCCTCCTGTCCCTCAGTGTTATCAGGTTGAGTTCCCCTACCCTCTCCTCATAGGACAAGCCCCTTAGCACAGGGACTAGTTTAGTTGCAGACCTTTGCACTTTCTCTAGTTTCCTGACTTGCTTGGTCAAGTGAGGGGTTCAAAACTGAAGCTGCATACTCCAGTATGGGCCTGACGTACAGGGTCCAGAACAACTCCTTACTGAGATGTCAGAATGCTCTTCTTAGGTTTGCTAGTCGCCCATATGCTGCAGCAGTTATTTGGTTGATGTGCGGCTCATGAGATGTGCTCAGTATTATACCCACTCCAAGATCCTTTTCCTTGAGTGATGTTTGTAGTCTTTGGCCCTCTAGACTGTACTCTGTCTGCAGTCTTCTTTGCCCTTTCCCAATCTTTATGACTTTGCACTTGGCAGGGTTGAACTCCAAGAGCTAGTTCCTGGACCAGGACTGCAGCCTGTCCAAATCCCTCTGTAGTCCTGCCTTGTCCTCAAATGACTGAATTCTCATTAACTTCACATCATCTATAAACAGGGACACTTCTGAGTCTATTCCTTCTGTCATGTCATTCACATATCAGGAACATCACTGACCCTAGGACTGACCCCTGTGGAACCCCATTCGTCACAGGCACCCACTCTGACACCTCATCACATACCACGAGTCGCTGCTGCCTTTCTGTCAGGTATTCTCTGATCCACTGCAGTGCCTTCCCTGTTATACCTGCCAAGTCCTCCAGCTTGCATGGAACTGTGTCAAAAGCTTTCTTACAGTCCAGGAAAACATAATCTACCCATCCCTCTTTCTCTTATCTTACTGCTGTCACCTTGTCACCCTGTCAGATATTATTCTCTGATTCACTGAAGTGCCTTTCCTGTTACACATGCCTGATCCTCTAGATTTTGCATTAATCTCGTGTGGAACTGTGTCGAAAGCCTTCTTGCAGTCCAAGAAAATACAATCTACCCCCCCCCCTCTCTCTCTCTTGTCTTACTTTTGTTACCCCGTCATAAAACTCCTGGAGGTTTGTGACACAGGATTTCCCTTCCCTGAAACCCTGCTGGTTGTCATGTATAAGCTTGTTCCTTTCTAGGTGCTCCATCACTCTCCTGATAATCTTCTCCATGATTCTGCATACTATACATGTCAGTGACACTGGTCTGTAGTTTAATGCCTCATGTTTATCACCGTTCTTAAAAATTGGGACTACATTTGCCGTTTTCCTCACCTCAGGTAGTTGCCCAATTTCAATGGATGTGTTGAAGACTGTTGTTAATGGTACACACAGTATCTCTCCTCCCTCTCCAAGGACCCATGGAGAGATGTTGTCCAGTCCCACTTACCAGCATCTTTACCTACTCCTCAGCTGTAAATCATCCAGCACTTGTTGGTGTATAACTTGCTGGTGTACCCCACTATTCCGGCTTTCCCGAGTCCTTCCTGTCTTCACTGCAAATACTTCTTTAAATCTCATGTTGAGCTCCTCACATACTTCTCAGTCGTTTCTTGTCAACTTCCCTCCTTCCTTCCTTCCTCAGCCTGATTACCTGGTCCTTGACTGTTGTTTTCCTCCTGATGCGATTATACAACAGCTGCAAGTCAGACTTGGCTTTTGACGCTATGTCATTTTCATATTGCCGCTGGGCCTCCCTCCTTATCTGTGCATAGTCATATATCTATGTATGTATATATGTATGTATGTATGTATGTATGTATGTATGTATGTATGTATGTATGTATATATATATATATATATATATATATATATATATATATATATATATATATATATATATATAATATATATATATACAGGAGGGCCCCGCTTTACGGCGTTTCACTTTACGGCGTTCCGCTAATACAGTCATTTCAAATTATGACCGAAACTCGCTATACGGCTCCCCCCACCTGACTTTCTAATACGGTCACCGCGCCCCACCCTGTTTGTTTACATTCTTCGTGAGCTCAGTAAGCACTAAGTCTCCATTTTGTCTGGAAACTCCAAAATTTCAAATGTTTTAAAAAGTTATTTCATATTTTATATATACTCTGATAATTATACTTATGTATACCTGTACTTAAATAAACTTACATACTGTGCTGGCATGCAGGTACACATTAAAATCAGTAAGAGTGTCTTATGTCTCCAAACGTCATATTAGTAATGATAATAATAATCATCGAGTCTCATTTAAATGTCGTGTATTACGTTAAATACACATTTTCATTAATCCATCTATGATATTTTTTCAAAATTATATAATAAACATGATACATAACATAAAAAGATGATAAATACACCCCACAATAGAATAAATAAACATAAATATGAGATTTGGTAGCAGACGACTTGCACAAGTGATGCCATATTAGAAATGATAATAATAATAATAATAATAATAATAATCACCGAGTCTCATTAAATGTTGTATATTACGTTAATATACACATTTTCATTAATCCATCCATGATATTTTTTTCAAAATTATATAATAAACACGATACATACATAAAAAGATGATAAATACACCCCACAATAGAATAAATAAACATAAATATGAGATGTGGGAGCCAGATAACTTGTACAAGTGATGCCAAGAATAACATTTTCTCTAATCTAACATAAGAGAAAATGTGTTACTGGGGGTAACTGTAGAAAATTATTCCTTTCGTATGTATGTAAGTTTATTCAGGTATACACAAATACAGTTACATAGATTATCATACATAACATATGTGTAGAGAACCTAGGATAACCCAAAAAAGTCAGTGACTGTTTTCCATTGCCTTCACTCAGAGCATCATTTCTTCTCAAAATGATGTTACATGAGAATGGGAGTGTTCTTCTTTATTTATTCTACCATATCAATGTCGAGACAACCTGTACACAATGTAACTTGTACACAAACCAGACGTGTACACTTTGTTTACAAAACTTACCTTCGCCTGGTTTGTTTACATAACTCTGCGCCTGTACTCTCTCATGCACTCATTCTTTCTCTCTCTCATTTATTCGTTTTATCTCATTTACTTACTCCTGACCCTACATTAAGACTACAAATATTTTAAGGTAAGTAATGAGTGAATTGTATATACATTTTATCGCTCTGGGATGCTTAAATGTAATAGAATATTATGTGTAGGTGGGTTGGCCTGGTATGGTAGCCCAGCTGACTACCATACATACCACACTTCATTTTTTACAATAAATACTACTCATCTCACCCTATATTTTAAGGTAAGTAATGAGTGAACTGTATATACATTTTATCGCTCTGGGATGCTTAAATATCATAGAATTGTATGTGTGGGTGGGGTGGCCTGGTATAGTAGCCTGGCTGACTACCATACATACCGCACTTGATTTCTTACAATAAATACTACTTGTCTCACCCTAGAGTAAGACTATAAATATTTTATGGTAAGTAATGAGTGCACTATGTGTGTATTGTACTTTTTTTATTGTTTTTTGATGCCTGGTTCTATTGCTAACTTAATATATGTTAGTGTAAACTTGTTATCTAGTGTTTGTATGCATTTGTAAGTGGAAAAAAAGGGTGTCCCACTTTACGGCAGTTTCCGCTTTACGGCGGTAGCCTGGAACCTAACCAGCCGTATAAGTGGGGCCCTACTGTGTGTATATATATATATATATATATATATATATATATATATATAATATATATATATATATATATATATATATATATATATATATATATATATATACACACACACACACATATATACACAGTGGTCCCTCAATAATCGTCCATAATCCGTTCCTGGAAGTGGGACTATTATCGAAATGGACGATTTACAAATCAATTTTCCCCATAAGAAATAATGTAAATTCAATTAATCCGTTCCTGACACCCAGAAGTATTAAAACAAAAATTTTTTTTACATGAAATATAGATGTAGTACATAAACAATACAGTGGCACATGATGAATTAAACTTTAACAGAATAACACTTGCCTTTATTGGCGATTCTTCTTTGTGTATGGAAGACTGGAGAAGGAGACTGATTGGATGAATTACTGTTTGGAAGGAGAATCCCTTTCCATCAACACCTCGGGTACCAATTGCTTTTCTGGGGTTACTTCTCTTCTCTGTTTCTTAATGCCACTAGGACCACCTTGAGAGTCACTGGAGTCCTGTCTCGCAAAAAACTGTCCAGAGAGCTCTGTTTCTGGCGTCTCTTTAAAACTTCCCTAAAATGGGCCAAGACTCTGTCACTGTACAAGTTGCCGATATGGCTTGCAACATCCTTCTCTGGGTGATGTTTCTCCATAAATCTTTCCATCCTACCCCACATTTCAAAAGTCTCCTTAATTTCTGAAGAAGGCACCTTCCTCCATCTCTCTTCCTCCTCCTCTGCAGCAAGATTCTGAGCTGCGATCTGTTGCTCTTCCTGCTGAAGCTCTTGCAGCTCCTCAGTGGTTAGCTCTTCGTTGTGGTCCTCCACCAACTCTTCCACATCCTCTAAACTCACATCCAACCCCATGTAA